ACTGACTTGCAGTGCAGAACTATTCTTAAAATAAATACTCAGCAGAACTTCAACATTTTATTCTGTTTTACTAAAATGCTGATTAGAGGGGGGACTCTTCATAAGACTTGTTGTTCAACTAAGATCTACCAGTGACATAATATAAAAATTAGTAGGATGCTTAATTAAATAAAGTTAAAACTACATTTATATGAAGATGCACGTTTAGAGAGACAAGTTTGGGAAATGCATCTTGAAGTAATAAGGAATTTGGGTTCACCTTAGTGTAGGGAAGCAGATTTAGTAATGTGAAGCTTGATGACCTTGCTGCTGCTGTGATTTGATGCTGTCTAAGTTACCTTTACCTTACATAATGATTCTTCTGCAGTGCATGTATTTATGTACAGCAAATGGAACTTGCACTCTTGGTGACTGCGTTAGGGCCCTTGCTCAGCACAACGTAAAGCTGGAATTTTAAGGTGGTTTTTGTCTATGGCCATATGTGAAAGTTGGAGTTGATTTTTCCTGCATGCTAATAATTTTGCTGGCTTAGTGTCAATTGTATTTTGAAACTTCTGTTTTGACAAAAATAGGTCAAATCTTTGGTCAAATTGCGGAAAAATTTGTACTCTGCAAGCATATTTCAACTTGCTGTAATTATTTTCGCAGTACTTATTCTGAGATCAATGAAGAAGTGCACTTCAATTATTTTTTTGAACTGATTTGTACAAGTTCACACCTGCATGTGTGACCTGAAGTCAGAATATGTGATAATCAAGGCTTCTTATAAACAAAACAAACTTCTTGGAATTAACATCTAGGTCTGTTTACTAATCTGTTAGTCTCAAATTCTAATATTTAGCTTCTATTCATCTTGCTTCATGTTTGTTATTTCTAATGCTTAATGCCATGCTTTCTCTTTTTTTCCTTGCCAGGTAATTTTTTGCTTTAATCTAAAGCAATATGCATTGCACCACTAAACTTTTGGGGTCTTTTTTCCTACAACTTATGGATTACAAGCCAAGTACTGGTTTTTATGAAGTCACTTAAGAAAGGGGCAAGATACCCTGACCACTCTAATCTGTACTGTTACCAAAATGCTCAGTAAGAGTATGTGACCACAGTAGAGTTTTAGAGTGCTCCAGTGTGCTGATTTTGATTGCAGCTTCTTGGGAAGCTGGGGAACAAAGTTATTTTAATTTCCTGCTTCCTTATTTGTATGATCAGGGAAATATTAATCTAGCTGCTGTACAATTCAGGTGTAAAGAACAAAATACTACTAGTTCTGTATTTTTTAGTCTTCTACAGCTATTTTGCCACCTAGACTTGAGCAGCTTTGATTGCATGTTTTTGAGAGAAAAAGTATTTGTACAACCTTTTCTGTAGAATTTTTTAATTAAAAAACTGCACTTTCCTCTAGAGTCATGTTCTGTTTAGCACTTCCATCAGACTTTGTCCATAAGCTGCTCAGTCATGAAAATGAAAATGCACATTTGTATTTCACCAAATGGAGTATTAATATGCATTCAAGCATGAGAAATATTTCATTTTGTGAGGCAGTGCAGAGCAAATGTATTTACCTGGAGATGACAAGTAGGGTTGCTCCTTTAAAGAAAGATGTGATTAGTTTTGCAGAACATCAGACAGCATAGATTGTCATAATGTCATTTCAGAAGGAAGTATGTTAGTTCCAATTGTGTGGGAATGTGACATGGCACCAATTGGTGCATCTTCTTGGTATAAAGCATATTTAAAAGGTAACTTAAGTGTTTTCCTAAGTGTAAAATCTTAGTCAGAAATATGCTGCTACATTCTAATTCTTTAATAAGACATGCCTGTGGAATTCAGACAAGTTTTGTCCTGCCCATATGATGGATGGAAACTCTTTTACTAAAAAAAAGCTCTAACTTCAGTCGTCATTGGATTGAATATCTAATGTTCTTTCAGTACAGAAAAGCTTGACATAGTGCTTTTTAACTCCCCAAGCTTTGCTGGATCGCAGTTGGGCTTTAGGAACTTGATGTATGGAGCTGTTTGATTCTGTTTGGATATTTGTTAGACAGAACACTTTAGCATTTCCTGATTAAAAGTTTTTCTTATTACTTTGTATAAGAAAGCCCAACATACAAGAAGTCTGGCTAGTTTATATTATTCACTTGTTTTACTTCACTTATCCCTGACTTCCAGAGCTGTTTTCCTCCCATGCTGTTGTAACGATGTGATTAGCACAGGGGTGTTTTAGTGTGACTGGAGGGACTGGGAGCTGTGGACAGCAGGAAGGAGTGGGGCAAGTACATTATTGTTATTATTCCTATATGCAGGAATGTGCCATGTAGTGTGAGAGCTGCATGGGAATAAACTAAATTTTTCAGAAAACAGTCTGATCTGCCTGTAAAGATATTCAAGCAGCTGTAAGCAATTTGTTACGTTTAAAGTATTACACAAAATTTACATGATATTCTTATTAGTTTGAGCCAGAATTTGTTTCATTTCATTTTTGACACTGCCTTTTCTCATGGTTCTTATTGTATTTTCATGGGAACAAACCATAGTTAAGCATGCATATAAAACCAGTAATAAACTTCAGGATGCAAAAGGATAGTGAATTTTGTTGTGAATTTTCAATTTGTCTTACTGGAATTATGAAATAAGGTCTGGGATCTGATGAGTCTGAGTGCATGTGTTCACTGTTTTTTTCTGTAATTTTACTGTTAGACCGCACAAATAGATAAGGTCAATTCTTTTTTGTTTTTTGCCTTCTGAAAAAAAAAAAAAAGCCAGCCTTGTCACTCGTATTCTGCCCGAAATGTCTGAGTTTGTCTCTTAGGTTTTGCTATGTTGACTCACGTAGTTAGATTTTTACTTAGGGTAATTCTAGTTTAGTTAATGTAGAACTGATTTAAAATACATTTCTAGAACTGTGTCAGTCTAGGACTGTGTCTGTTCTAGAAAACTGCTTTGAGGAGATAAAAAAGTCAAATGTTCTTCATACAGTCTGAAAAACCAAAAATATGCACGTTGATGAGAGTGGGAGGGAAACTAAAGCTGGATTGTAGTATGAAATTAGGTAAATCAAAAGGATGTAGTAGAAAGGGTCTTCTGGTTGAAGAGCAGTGTATTGGAGAGTAGAAGAAATGTGTTAGTCTGTTATTTGCCATTTCATCAAAGATTAAATCCTTTGGGTCTTCTCCCATTTATTTATGTTGAATTTATACTGATGTGAGGATCTAGTGGCACTGTTAATGGAAAACAGGAACCGAGTGATGTAATGGGGCAAAGAGAAGAAGAAAATGCTGAATATGTACGAGGAGCTCTACTTGCACGTGATTTTGATAAGAAGTTAAAGTTCAGAGCCCATGTATCTTACTGAATAGATGTTATGTCTATCTGCATAACCTTTTGTTCCATAGGGCTTGTAATCACACTTTAAACTGTGAACTTTACAATCCAACAGATATGTTGTAAATTTTTCCTGAAGTCAACTTGAATAGTTTTATTTAAAATGTCATCCACCATTAAAAACAAGCAAGCACATGATTTGTCTGATATTAGTTGTTCCACTGTTGAACTAGCCATTGGTGTGAGGTTTTAAGAGTATCTTAATACAAGGTATTAAAGGCAAGTTTGTATCTGTCAAACCTCCTGTTAGTACTAAGCAGAATTTAATGCTTAGTGATGCATTACTAATGGAGTAGTATAACTAAGAAATTATTAGTGTTGTTTCCTTAGTTGCTCCTTAGTTAAGTAAGTTTCTATAAATTAAGTTTTGGCTGGGTTGGTTTCTGCAGTTGGAGAAACAATACGGTTCTTTTCTTTCCCCTCTTCATTTTAGATTATTATGGATAGCATGATTGGGAAGTATCATTTTGGAAATAGTCTTGTAATTCAGCCAACATTCCTTCATGAACATGCTTTCTGAACGACTTTTTTGCTGTGTCTGCTGTCTCAACAGGACTGCTATGTCAAAAATCCATGCTGGTTCATCAGATGATCTGTATAATGGAGTTGTGTAAATAAGGCTAACCTGACTAAAATATATTTCGTTTAATATAGTGATTTGAAGTCTTTAAAATGGGATTTTAAAAAATGGTTAAAGTACCTTAAATGTTCTATGCCATACAGGTTTAAGCTCTCTTGACTAGACCTAATAAAGCTAGTGTACTTATTCTGTTTCGCTGTCTTGCATGCTTTTGCTTCTTGCTAGATTTCTGAGACTGGAGTAGGTAAAGCAACCTTTTAACTTGGGAATCTTCTGAGTGTGTTTTCTTTTTATACTTCTAGCTCTGTGTCTCTGTGAACTTACAAAATGAAAATGCTTCTGCTAGGTGGTAATTGCATGAACATGGTTTCAGACTCATACAAATCAAAATTATTTATGAAGCATTTTTCTGGGAATCTGTCCTCACTTCCTATCTTGTAGGAGCCAAACTTACATTTAGTGGGAACAAAAACAAAAGCTATTTATGTTGCCTTCTTAACATTCAAACACTAAGTACACTCATCCCTTCCTTTAAGTGTGACATTTCGTGCAGTGTTTCTAAATTATCCCTCTTTGTAAGTTATTGAAGGAACAACTGTTTTGTCAGCATGATTACAGATTTTTTGCTAGCTTTTTTGTTTATCTACACTTGTGTAAAGAAAAAAAAAGCAAGCACGATCAGTTGCAAGAATGACATTAAAACTTTTCATTATTTACATGCAGCAATGTGTCTCCCCTGAACAGTAACTTGCATGTTTGTAAACAACAAAATACATTGTTTTTATAACCACTGACATTTTGTCGATTCTAGTAATGTGTAAATCAACAAATGGTAAAGTTTTCTTTTTAATTCATATGCAAGAGTATCATTTTTCACAAAGATGTACTTGAACTGGTTTATAGCTGTTAAAAAAGGGTTTTGAATTGAACTTTGCCTTTATGACAGTGGAAAAAAAAATGAGATCTCTTCGAACAAATATGTGTTTGTATACATATATGTATGTATATATATTAGTGTAAAAAAGTCTGGTGTATATATATACACAATTGTAGATATTTTCATATTCCAAATACCAAATTTTTAAGAGATGGATGCATTGTAATATTTTGATTTATTTAATTCTGTAGTTTGTTCAGTTTGTGTTTAATTTCAGATTAGAATTACATTGAGTGTACAGAAGTATTGCAGTTGTTTAGGTTTAGATACAAACTTTTGTTTTTACAAAGCAGATGTTCTGCACTTTAATCTTAAATACAGATGATTGCTTAGATTCCTACTGTGAACATGCTTAAGCAGGTTAGCTATCTACATTTGTTTGGCTTCAGGTTTAGATATTTCTGAAAACTACAGAACACACCAGGGTACCTTCAAGAAAAAGATAATTCATGCCATGTGCTTTTTTTGAAATAAGTGCATCTTCTCTGCAGTCTGGTTATCCTTTCTCAAGTCTCTCTGCTTTTTCATCTTCTAGTGACTTGCTACATTTTGAGTTAAATGGACTCTATTAGCTAAACTAAGTTGAAGCAAAGGTTTTCCATCATACTACCAACTGGAAGTACTTAAATTAAACTACCAATGTTAAGTCAGTTGTGAAGACTGAAAACAGTATGTATCCAAATTTCTCATATGCTTAATTTGGGAGATCAAGTTCTCCATGTGACTACTATTTGTTTTTCATGCTGTTTCTTTTTCTTCTTTTTTTTTTTTTTGTATGATGCTTCGGGTACACAAATATGGCATGATCTATTTATTATCACATAGTCTGTTCATGTAAGTGAATGTTTGGCTGTAGGAATTGGTTACTCTTTGCAGTAACATGCTGGGGTTTTGATGTCGGTGAAATTTCTGGAATTCACATGGAAAAATTAATTTGCTGGAATTCTTATACTTGTAGTTCTTCCTTTTTTCTTCTTCCCAGATGTTTGTACTAAACTGAAGACATCTAAATAGATCTGGGGGGGTGTATACAAAACTACTTCATGACAATCTGAGCCTCTAGGCAGTATCAATATCATTCTTATGCGCTACCTTGCTTCTGGTTTGTGGATTGAGCGACTACAGTTATAGGTCAAATATTAATTAGATTTTAAAGGTTATGATTTCTTTGTAATTGGAAGCATTACATGGATCATAAGCAGTTACTACATGTGTCTAGACACAGATGTCTTAAAGTTATATATAGCTTTTCTCTAGTGGTCCTCTATACTTTCCCATTTTTTTTACCTCTGTGCGGAAGCAGAGGGGATGCAGTACCTGACTTCAGACACTGACAGTTTACTGATTTCTTGATGTTTTTATTTTTGTAACTTTATTTTGTCTTTTTGCTTTCACTTTTGTAGTACTTTTACTCACTTTTTACTTCCATGAATTAATGGTTTTAAATTGCTTTAAAACCTGAAATTTTTTAAAAGTTCTTTGTCTAATTCATAACACCAGAAGCTTAAACTTCAATTAGATCACTGGCAATATAGGCCAGGAAACCTGTGGGGAGCTTTTGGCAGAGGTAGATAAGACAGCAAAAATGGGCAGTAGGATGGTATGTGAGCTGTGGTGTGTGGAGTCTTTCTTAGGCCTGTGCTGGGTTTCAGTGAAGACTTTGATTACTCAAGAGCTAGTTGAAATAGTTGATCTAGCCCTCAAAAGTTAAACAAGGTGATCACAGGCAGTTTAAATGAAGGAGTTTCAAAAGCAAACAAAAGTAAGTGGCAGCTTTGTGCTCTGAGCAATTATGATGCAGAATAGGTGCTCAGAAGGGAGCTGTTTTAAGTGATGCCTTTCTGGATGTCTCTCCCACATAAAATATTGAAAAAATTTAATGTGCTACTTGTAAGAAATGAGGATGCTATGAATTTTAAGGCTATTCCTTGCTTAGTGATTTTTTTAAATCTTCAAAATGATGATAGCTGCTTCCATATTTTTGGTTTGTAAGGTGTTTTCTTCTTAATAATCTTGTATCATTCTGCACCCCTGTCAGTTTTTAACTGAACACATGATTAAACTGACATGCTTGCTTGGACCAGCTTTAGACCACATAACATGTGACCAGTTTTGAAAAATAGCTTCTTGTTATGCCTACAGCTTAAATAATAGATGCTTCTGACCACATTTTTGGTAACTACTTCTCTAAGGTATCACATTCTACTTCGTCATCCATATAACAACAATATCTAGAATAAATACTCAGGATATACTTACTGTGTTTCTCATTCATTTATGTTTTATTTGTGCATACCAGTAGAAAGCAGTGACACCAGCAAGGACTTTCTAGGCTAAAGGCAGAATTGCTTGTCTGACAGCTGCTGAAATTGTATTATAATACTTTAGAGTCACTTAAATTGCTTTTTTTTTTGGTCTTTAAGTTTTCCTTTTTATTCGCATATTTTCCAGGACTTAAAATGTTCATTACCAGTTGGACTTGGACTTTCTGAAACCAAAATAACATCTCATGGCTTTGATGGTGCCAAAGAGGGAGTTGTTGAGGCAGGACAGTTTCCAAGTAAAGGTAAGTGGGTTTTTTTTGTATTTCTTAACTAAAAACCATATTCTTACATGGTCAGAAACACAATCTTCTGTAGCTGCTTTGAGCAGTTTGGATGAATGTACACATTTGAGATTTGCATTACTGACAACCAGTTTATATTTTTTTTTTTGTAGCTGGGTTGTTAAGGTAGAGAATATATGCTACACTTGTAGTATCTGTCAAGAGACTTACTTAGAGTTGAATTGGTTTGCACTTAAGGGAAGGGAAGGCCTTGGGCACCTTGAACTGGTGTCAGGCTGAAGAATTTTACTATTACATTGTGTTGAAGTTTTCTTCAGATTTTGCAAGTTACTGTTCTGATTTGAAACCTAACAGGAGAGTTATTTATTTGTTATACACACTTCACTAACAGAGTAGATTAAAAAGTGGGATTCTTCTTGTCATATTAATGTATGCCTTAGAGAATCTAAGTGATATTAAGCAATGAGAAATGCAAAGCGATAGGCAAGGCACTAATGTCACTATTTCCTGTCTAAAAGCAATAGAATACCACGATATTGTATGGGCAACTGGTTTTCAGTGAATTATGTACCTTTGACAGTTTCTGCATTTGAAAGATTTGAAATTATCTCAGTTATGCAGCTATGAAAATAAGTCTCTTTGTAGTCATATATTTATTTTACATTTTGCTTCATTTCCTGTTTGGTAAAATTCTTTGCTTATGAAAACAGTTGATTTACATGCTGTACTTTACATATATTACAAAGTGAATGCTGTGTTTCTTTATGCCTTTGAAAATAGCAAAATATCTAGCTAAACACTGGAGCAGATGGCAAACTGCTCACTATTCCTGCCTTTTTGTGTTCTATTACCAGGATAACTGTTGCAGCTGTTAAGTATAATAAGCCTGTAAGGGAAAAGTGTCTGAAGATGTTTCAACAAACACAAATGTGTTTGAAATGTAAATGTTCTGTGGAAATTTCTGTACACAAATTAGGAGCTTTGGACACTTTAGGTATCACAGATTTTCTCCAAAGATATTATCTTGGGATTTTTTTCTGATGTTCTAACAAAATCAGAGAGAGAGAAGTGGTAAAAGCTAGGGCTTTCTATGAAACCATGGATAAAAGTTGAATGATTGCCCTATTGCTAAAAATTCTGTCTTCTGTTTGAGTGTCCTTATTAGGGCTTCATTTTTGTATGCAAAGTAGACAGTACTGGAGAGGAAGGGCTTTTAGGATTTGGGGGATGTTGAATGATGAAGCATGCATAAGGCTGTGTTAATGCTCTGTCAAATGATAAGGATGTTTTTAACTGCTTGTCTTGGCTCGCTTGCTGAAATGATTCAGGCAAGATCTTGCAGTCAGACTTTTATGCCTGGATGAATTCAGTTGCAGCTCTTATGCAATGTACATCTACAGAAGGACACAGCAAGTGAGCTGTCTTTGTCTCTTCTCAGTTGGATCCAAATAATTGGATTTATTTACCCCATGTTAGCAGAGCTCTGTGGAATGTTTTAAAGCTGATTGTTGATCCAATTATTTTCAGTGATATTTTTGGTGATAACTAAATTTTGTTGAAACTACAAAGTTTAGGTTTCATTTTCTTTCCCTTCAGCACACTGTTAGCCCTGAAGTATATTGGAATTTGTCAGCAGCAACATTAAAAGTTCCTCCCCAGTATGGTGGTCATTCATCATTACAGAGGAAAAGCTTACTTGCTTCTTTTTTAAATCCTGAAAATTTCATAAGGATGCTTCTTCAGATTTATCTGTTAGGAAAGATGGCAAAGCTCTGAAAAGCATAATGAGCACACTCCTAAAACAGCTTAGAGAACACACACAGTGCAGGTCATTTAAAGTTGTTTGGTTTTTCTGTTTTGGTTTGGGGTTTTTTGTTTTTTTTTTTTTTTTNTTTTTTGTTTGTTTGTTTGTTTTTAAGAGAAAAAGCAAGTTCTGTAAAATCTTTCATTTGGGAATGAGTTTACACATTTTCATAGCTAATAATTTGTATGTTCTTTAGGATAGCTTATTGCTGCATGTTTACACAGACTTAAGAGCTGATGTCAATAAAGTATATCTGAAATTGGCAGAGATTTCAGGGCTTACTTCACCTTTTAATGCTTTAAGTACTATTCAGTGACATTGCAGAGTGAATTCTACCTAGACCTGCAAAAGAGTCTCAGCTATTTATTGTTATATAACAATCTTTCATGGAATTCTCTGGTTTTGGTCTGTACTTCACTGATGAGCCCTTCAGTTGTATTTTGATTGTTGTTACAGAAAAATGAATGGTCATCATGACCTAGAGAAAAAGATTAAATCTAAGAAAACTTGGAGTAGTTCACATGGAGAGATGCACCTCTTAAAAAAACATTTCCATCAGAAATTCCAACAACTTTTCTGTGAATACTTCTATAGCTGCTGAAGCAAATGTTTTTTTTTTGGTTTGTTTTGAAAATGTGTCTCTGTAAGAGTGCACATTCACTTGGAAGAAAAGATGATGTATTTTCATTGTTAAATGTCCCATTTTCAGGTTCCTCAGCATCACCCAAATCATCTGTTATATCTCCTAGCAGTACAGCAGCTAGCAGACTGGCTGGACAAGGTTGTGATTTAATTATTCCCACAGGTATTAAAGCACTGAATGGATAATGCCCTTGTCTCTGCTGAGACTGTACTAACCCTTCCATGTTTCTAATTATTTGATGCACTTTTAGTTGGAAATGAAATTTCTGTGGGATTTTGGTGGCTCTTACTTCAACAGTTTACAAATTAACCTCTGCTTTCTTCTCTCTAAGCTGCTTTTACTCTGTACAATTAAAATCATAGGTAATATAATAATAACTAACAGTAGATAAAATAAGAGTGACCAAATTCTTTTATTTAGGTTAAAGCTGAAACTTTTTAGCATATTCCAATAGACTATGGGACCAGCCATTAGGAATTCACAACACTCAGACTCAGCTTTGCCACTTGACTCATTTTGTGCCTGTGGGCAAATTACTTAACAACTTAGTCTGCTTCCTTCTGCATAAAAGGAGAAAACTTAGTTACCTCATAAACGTGTTGAGAGGGTTAATTACTTAATGTTTGCACAGCATGTTGAAGATGTAAAAACACAGTAGAACTTGATGCTAAAGGAGTATCTTGAGGCATCTGTATAGACTTTTTTCCAAACTCTTGCTTGCATAAATAACTTGGCAAGACTAAGGTGACTGTAAGTAACAGTAGGGATCAGTCAGGAGTAGATAAAATCATTATGGACACGAATAAATAAAAATGTTGCTTAAAAAGTGACAATACTTAGAAGTTTTTAATATTTAGGACACTATTTGCAAAATTGAAGCAGGGAATCCACATGATATTCCATACTAGCTTGGAAATGCTGAGTAATGGCAGTTTGTGTGTGATGATTTGTCCTAGGTATTTTAATTAGTTGCTTTAAATTTCTTCTTTGCTAGTTTGTAGAATTAATTGTTCCTAATACAATGAGCTATTAAAACCGAAATACATTAAATATTGGCTGAACACATAATCTGGAAAGAATGACTTTCATTGGAAAAGATTAAAAAACTCTGTACTTCATGAAAACAGTATGTCAGTAATTGTTGTTGAATGGTCTTCAGGTTGTAAACAGGCTTTTACAGTCTTCTACATTGACTAAATGTAAGAGTGTTCAACTGTTGGAAGTTTTTAAACATAGATATAAATGTCTCAAATATAATAAGAATAAACCTGTCTCAAAAGCTGTTTTAAGCTTTCAGTGTGCTTAATTCAGCCTATTACTTCATGAAATAGTGGTCTAGATATATACTTTTTAGATTAGTTTTAAAGTAAGTGTTTCTTTCTGGAACTGATTTAAAAAACCTGCTTATTCATCTTAAGTTCGTTCTGTCACCTTGCTCGGCTTTTGGATGTGCAATTGCATAAATCTTCTATACCTGCTGCTAATCCCTTAAAACAAGCTAACAAACAAAAAGCCCAGACCCAAGGCCTTGAAGATTTGCTTTGTTTCTGACACAGGGAGCAGAGCTCAGCAGAAGAGTGGACCTGTTGTGTTAGCAGATGAAGTAAAGAATCCAGCGATGGAGAAACTGGAATTGGTGAGGAAGTGGAGCCTAAACACTTACAAGGTATGCAGCTGTGTGTGTGTATGTATGTATGTATTCTATGAGTGAGTTTGCTACTAGATAGGAGTAGAGTATGAAAGTAAACTGTTATAGCAGTGAGCATAAGCAAGAATGTGTAGGAAAGGCTTAGCTTTCTTCCAAGTGTAACATTCTTTGTTAAATCCCTGGTGTGATGTGGAAAGTCTTTAATAGGTATTACTAATTTAGCAAGGTAAAGAATGTCCCATTTCTAAAGTTCCCTTCATCATTCCCAATGTAGTGATTTCAGCGCTAAAGTTTGGAATTAAGTATTTTTTGCCAGTTTTGAGTTGACTGCTGATACAATAAGATTTTAGTTGATGTGAAAAGATCAGGGGCATCTAGAAGTTCAAAACTTGTTAATTGCTGTTCAGATGGTTTTGTTTCATCTTGGCTGATTGTTTTTTCTTAGTGTTGTAATAGTTGCTTCAATTTGTTGCTTCATTATCAGTTGAGATTTGATGAAATTAAAAGAATAACATAAGAATAATGAAAAGATGCTTAAAGCACACCAGTTTGCTAGAAGTGACTCATTAAAAAAACTGTAAGGTAAGGAACAATTGTCAGGGAATGTATTCCTGTCAAAAGTGTAAAGAAAGACCAGTTTTGAAAAATAGCTTCTTGTTATGCCTACAGCTTAAATAATAGAGTTGTGAACAAGTGCATCAGTGAGGTCTACATCAAACCATGAAGAAATTAACAATCTGTGGCAAGTAAAGCCTGAATCCCTCCAGTGATCTTTAAGTCCAGATAAGAAAGAACATCCTTCTCAGTGAGGATGAGAAGCCCGGATGGAGACATTCTATCTGTAGTAGATGCTTTTGCTATCTTTCTGTTAGAATCAGAAGTTTCTTTTTTATTTTTTATGTCTCATTACATGTCTTTTAGATTTGCTACTTTTCTTATCATCTAAATATCGTAGCAACTGCAGAAGTTGCAGTCCATTGGTGTCCTGGGGTGCCTTAGGACATTGCTGGCAGGTTGAGGGAGATGATCCTGCCCTGCTATTCATCCTGGTGATGCACATCTGTGTCCAGTCCTGGGCTCTTCAGGACAAGAGAGACATGGAGCTCCTGGAGCTGGTCCAGTGGAGTGCAGCAAATATGGTGAAGGGACTGGAGCAGCTTTCTTATGAGGAAAGGCTGAGGGAGGTGGGCCTGTTCAGCCTGCAGAAAAGATGACTTAGAGGGGACCTCATGAATGTCTATAAAGTATCTGAGGGAAGAGTGTCAAGAGGATGGATCCAGGTTCTTCCCAGTGATGCCAAGCAACAGGACAAGAGGCAGTGGGCAGAGCCTGATGCACAGGAAGTTCCACCTGAACATAAGGAAAAACATTTTTACTGTGCAGGTGACTGAGCAATGTAACACGTTGCCCAGAGAGGTTGTGGAATTTCCCCTCACTGGAGATACTCTCTGGATACAGTCCTGTGCAACATGCTCTGGGATGGACTTGCTGGAGTAGAGATGTTGAACCGGGGGACCTACTGTGGTCCTTTCCAACCTGACCCATTGTGTGATTTTGTCTCTCAGCTACTTTGGAATGCACTGTGGTACTATCAGAATATGTGCTATTCAGCTGAAACTGTTCTTTAAAATCCCCTTGTCTCTTTAAAACATTGACTCTTGGGATCAAATCTCCTATACCACAATGAAATAGGACAGGACTTGACCTTATTCTGTTTTTTATATTTAGAAAGCAAACCCACAGAAACTCACAATGTCTCAAACTCACTGACAGGAACCAAACAGCCAGAGGACTAGTGAAAAATGTTGGGAAAAGGGGTCTTGGATCTTTATTTAGAACACAATTTCTTTGGCTGTAGTCTTTGCAAAGTTCAGATTTTTAGTTTTCTTTTATGGCTTAAACCTCCCCCTTGCTGAAATACAGAATCACACCAGTAATGACATAGCAGACAAAGACTAGCATTTTCAGAAAACAATATGCTTACTTTTATCTATTCCTGAACATGCCTAAGGAGATGTGTCAGTTATGATCTTTGTAGAGTTCCATATTGACTTGCTGTTCACACTTTTTTTGAGACATAAGATCATTCAGAGAACTTAGAAATTCATTTTGAGTTGATAGAGTATTGTGCAACTGTTCTTGGAGATGCCATACATTTGTGTTGTGGGTTTTGTACAAAAAGTATATTTAATATGGTTAAAGACAATATTTAAATTTGTGGACATACTGGTTTGCTTTCATTCCCATCAGGAAGATCATGGGAAGAGGTGTCCTCCTTATCTCATAATAGCTAACTGTTCATAGGTTTGAAGATGCAGAAATAAAGGACAGGAGTAAATGTCAGTACTTGAATCTCTCGGAATTTAAAATCCCTGGTGTTAATGTACCAGGCATTAATCTACAAGGGGAGCTAGTGGTGAAATTTGCTGTGAGGAAGTTCTTTAGGAATCTGACATGAGTCGTTCTTATACCATGGTGTCTGTATCAGGGGTTGAGAAATCTAAATTATTGGGTATGTTCAGAAATCATTCCCATCCATAAATGCCTTTGCAACTACCATTGCCCTTCACATTCTCCAGTCAAATGCTCCCTAGTAATCATGAGTTAGTGTGAAGAGAAACTGCCCTTCTTTCCATAGTCTGGTGGCAAGATCTTGTTCTGTTCTTTCTTCTGTCCATGCCTTCCCCTTTGGATGAGAAAGAAGTTTTCAGTCTAGCAAAAACATTTAGTTCCAAGAAAGTCAAGAGTCTCCTTGACTTTCTATGGCAGCACATTTCTCTCTCTCAGGATTTTTCATAGAGGTGCACAGAGAGACAGAAAGAGGAAACAATTTATATTTCTGCTCCTTTTTTTCTCGTGGAATGTGGTTGGAGAATTGTTTACCTGGGGTGATTGCTTGATTGGATTCTGGTGAGATTGTTTGAGTTTGGTGGCCAATTGGATCCACCTGTGTCCGGACTCTGGAGAACAGGGTTACAAGCTGTGAGGGAGTTAGATTTGATAGTTAGAGAAAGTAGTATGTAGTTTTAGTATCTTCCTTTATATAGTATATTAAAGTATTTTAGCATAACTATAATAAATCATTTGGCCTTCTGAACTGGAGTCAGACATCATAATTTCTTCCCATTGGGTTCGCCTGCATTTACAGTAACTTTCAGCAATTCTAACAAGCTTGTCTTTTTGTTTCTCATACAACTTCTTAAACTTTGAGGGGCTGAAAATGGCAAACCTGTTTTACAAACCTCTCTAACACTGGGCTACTAATAAAACATTTATTTCTGTGACATGTCCAGAAATGCCTCTGTTCATCTTTGGCATGTACAAGTTAAAATGTATTTCTCTTAAATGTATTTTGGTAACCTTTTTTTTTGTCTGAGTTGTTTTTCTTAAGCTTTCCGTTGGATGACTTCTTTTTTGAGTTGCATGGTCTTTTCTGTGACAGTTTCCTTTATAGATACTCTTAGAGCAAAGCACAATGGAATTAATATGTGGAATTTTCTTTGCTAGTGATAATATAGAGCAACTTATGTGCTTGTATTAGTCCACTTAGAACTGGAGTAAATCAAAATAGATTAGGGCATTTTCTTTATCTTTTGCTGCATCTGAGTTAAAGTATGCAGTCTAAGTCTTTCCAGTTACTGGGTTTTCCTCACTTGTCATTGCTGGGCTTTTTTTGGTGTTTTGCTGTGACTTATGAAGCAAATACCCCTTCACTGAAAATAATTCCTACATTTGTAATTTATTCTTGCTCTCAAAAAGTTTGCTTTCCATGATTTAGATTTTTCTCTTGCATTTCCATGGGATTGTGTGTGTGTGTGTCAGTTCTTTTGGAAGATAGCCAAAATTTGACCATCACTTCCATAATTCCTATGAAATATGAAAGGCTTATTTATGCTCTGAGCACACTCAGAACTAAGCTGTATTTTGCAATTTCTCTTGGAGTCTTTGGTAATAAAGTTGTATCCTCTGTTACGATTTGTTATGCTTTCCCAAATTTCTGATGCTTAGCAGACAAACCTAGATTAGCTGTGCTTTTTCTTGTGAATTACTTGAATCTAACAAAGTAGCCCAAATAGTCTGTGTCTTCTCACCTAAACCTTATGGGTCATGATCAACTTGATCTCCTTGATCATGTTTGAATCTCTTGTGTTCTTCTATTGCATTAAGAAAGGACATGGAAGTTCTAGCAGGTTGAATGTGCATCTCCTTTGGACATGAGTAAAGATGGTATTAAACTAAAGTCTTTGAATTGGGAAACCCTATGAGATCTAAGGCTGTAGTGTATTTTGGGAGTATGTTACAAGATAAGTTTGGGCATTATCTCACAAAAAAAAATTTAAAATAACAGCTTTGTGCTTAGGTTAAGATCTTTCAGAGCAAACATGACCTTGACTACCAGCTTAATTTCCTTGTACCTTTTGTTTCTAGCAGTAATTTTTCAAATGTCTAAGTTGGTTATCCATTCACACCTTGTGACCACAGATTAACTTCAAGTAACTTACTAGAGCAGTAAATAATTCTGCTTTCCATAGAGAAACTGTATAGCTTTGCTACACATCTGCTTTGCAAATGTCTTCTCCTGTGTCTCAGTCAAGGGAAACCCCAGTGTGCATCTTGGGAGGCTCACTGCCAAGCTGGGCTCGAATCTCTGGCAGAGAAGGTGTTGCAGATCAGTGGAATGTGGTAGCAGCCTGCTCTGTCACAGCCATGGGCTGGGTGAGAGTGTCTACAGCTGCAAGAGCACATTTCCTGCTCAGTGTGTTAATGAACTGCAAGCCTACTGAGAATTTGACTTACGACAGAAAAGAGAGTCTTTCTGAGTAAATCATCTTCATTTTATAGATGTATACATAATAAGTGCATTTTAATACTTTTGCATATTTCTTAGTAGGAGTTCCCAGTTTCCTAATCAGCTTTCAAAAAACATTCAGAAAACCACCATCTTCTTACTTGCCCCCTAAAAAAAAAACCTCAAAATGAACATTTTTGGAAAATTTAACTTGGATGTTAAGATCAGATAATTGGTAGACAAAACCCAAAAGATTACTAACTTGACGTTTTTATGCAGAATAGTAATGCTCCTATTAAGTGACTTAAATGCAATGGGCTAAAATGCTTCTTTTAACTTAATGAGATTCACCAAACCTATAAAAAGATAAGTGTTCTTTTACTTGAGAAACAATTAGTTATGCTCTTGATTTGCTAACTTGAATATTCATCTTAGTAGGAGTTGAGACTTGTCCAACTGTTCTTGCTGAGTCCTGATAAACTTCTAAAGACTGTGTTGTTTTTTCAGTTTGTTGTGCAAACTTATATTGGGAGGGGTGGTTGTGAAAGAATTGTGTGTAATTATATGTCCCTTGAAGCTGAAAATGGGTGTATGCTCTGTTGTCTTGAATATACTTGAATCTTTATAATTTATTTTTTTTTCTGCAGTGTACACGTCAGATCATCTCTGAAAAACTGGGTCGTGGCTCAAGAACAGTGGACCTGGAACTAGAAGCTCAGATAGATATATTGAGAGACAACAAAAAAAAATACGAAAATATCTTGAGACTGGCACAGACACTGTCCACACAGCTCTTCCAGATGGTGCATACCCAAAGACAACTTGGAGATGCTTTTGCTGACCTGAGTTTGAAATCATTGGAACTTCATGTAAGGCTTTCATAGTGTTAAGAAAATACAGTGGCAGAGATGAAGATCAGCCTAATTGACTCGTGCAGGGTATCTTGTAGTTAGCAGCTGCTTTCATAAACATAATTAACAATATATTACATGTTCTTTGTGTTGAAAGCTTCTGTGATTCACTTAAACTGTAGGAAATTATTGAAATTACTGTAGTTCTATACTGTTTCTTGAATGTCAGCCTCTAGTTGATGGTTAAACTCAAGAACTGACAATTTTGCTTTGTAGAGAAGATGCATTTTAGTATTAATTTTGCACCTAATGAAATGTCATCAAAGTGCTCCAGAGTGTTATGTCATTTCAATTACATGATGTCTTTAGCGAATGTGCCTGGGAATAAGTAGATTAGGGCACATTACTTCACTTGTGCACATTGAATGTGAGTGAATTTTTTTTTGTAGCATATTTAAGCATTGAGATTTGATCTCTAAGTAGTTTTTTAATCAGAATTTTTCTACTAATACAATTTACCTGTATTCTTATGTTGTCTGGAGCTGCTGAGCAAGAGAGGCAATCTTGAGATATCTGGGTTGTTATGATTCCATGGTTTAGAAGTTTATGTAACGCTGGCACTTTCTTTGCCAGTAGTAAAGCTGTTTGCTGTAAAGAGAGACAAGGAGTTCAGCATGTTGTTTACAGAATATAGTAGCTGGCTTTCTTCTACATTGCTTGTCCTGCATTTGCAAAGTTAAAACAATCTGATCCTTTGGAAAACCAATATTAAATGGTTTAATAATTCCCTGAAACATAGCTGCTGAAACAGCTCAAATTATCTTTGTGATTTTAAAAACATCTGTCTTTTCATAGTTGTCTTTTCCCATTGAGTTTTAAGGGAGTAGGTGGAGTTCATGCCTGCACAGTGGAACCTTAAGTGATAGCTAGCTGAAAAAATGTGAAACTCCTACACTAATGTGGAGGAATTTTTAATATTAGTCTGACAGATGAGAATCTGTGAATGTAGAGCATTTCTAGCAGCTAAGAAATTATATGATCTGCTAAAAGAAGCTTTTAATAATCAGTTTATTCTTGACACAAATATAGGCATGTGGTTTGTGGCAGATCTTAATGATTATTGTGAAGTATGTGCTGAAACTGGATGTTTCTTCCAAAACTTGGACAGAATCTGGCATCTTGCTCATTTAATGAATCTTGGGTTTTTTCCCATGATTAGCTTGTAACATCTAATGGGAATACTGATCCTCCAGGTTCTTTCAGCATCGTATATTGGTCTTGGACTTTGTTTCCATCATTCATCTCTTGTGTAGATTCTCGAATGAGGTTGTTGATGAAAATTAAATAAAGGTTTCTGCTGCTGTAATAAGAGTTATCTAACCTTTGCTTCTTGGAGACTTGCCTGGTGTTTGTCTCTTTCCTCTTTGTGTTTTCCCTGTGTATAATCTGTAATGTATTATCATCTGTAGCCAGGCCTGCTTTTGGATATTTGGATTTTTGCCTCTAAAATTTGTGCAGGACTAAAAGTAAAACTTCTGAACAGTTAGTCTTTAATGTTTAATGTGATAACAGTATATATAATCTTAGAATAAAATTAAAAAGCCCCCCAAGTCTCCAGGTAATACTTTTATACATGATAACAAAACAATTTTTTAATGTGGCATCTGGTGAGGTATTACTTAATGTGAATGGGTTGCTGTTTCTCTTTTGGATACAAAGATAGCTGCTGATTCCAGGCTCATGTGCCTCTAATTATATAGGCAGATGAATCCCAATTTTAATTGACCTGAGCCTAGAGTATTAATTGAGTGTAAACTCCAGGTGTGGAAAGGATTTCCTCTGTGTTTCATAAGAGGTATCTGCAGAGGTCATGGATAAAACTGAAAAGTTTGTATGAAACTATGAGCCACTGGAAGGACATGATTGTTGGTTAGCATAGTCCTTAGTACTGCAGGCCACTGCAGACCAGTCCTTTTTACCTCCCACTTTGAACTGGTAGTGTTGTTCATTTGAGTCAGGGATGATCTGAGTGAAAACTCAGCTGGAGAACTAATTGCAGTCTTGCCTGCAGTAGGAAAAATAGATGGGACTAAGCTGCTGCAAGGGGCATTTCTATTGCTGTTGTCTCTGCCAGCATGCTGCTATTTCTTCTCTGTGCTAGCATTCATGTTAGCTATGTAGCTGGCGGTGTTTGAGCAAAGCCAGCTGGAAAATACTTGGTTTGGGTTTTTTTTCCAGCAAAATCTGTAGCAATTTAGCCAAATGCTTTTGATGCCCAAGCAGCTATACAAAGGAAAGATGACAGATCTTTAGCAGCATTTACAAGGCTTAGCTCGTAAAAACTTGCCCTAATTTCTCTTCCTTTTTTTCTTCTCCTTCAATTGCTTACTTCCTTGGCACCTTGTTTTCTAGAGAATTCTTCCCTTACCATTGCCCATTACCTGTTACCCTTACTGTCATGAACTTGTTAACATGAAATATCATTTGGCTCTGGTGTTCATTTTCTAGAGAGATGAAAGGAAACTGGGAGAATACAGCACTTCTGAGTCAGTTGCTGGCAGTGTACAAGCCTAAAAAGACCAAAGTTCCAAATATGAACCTATAGTATTTTATAGTCATTACAACCAGGGATTGTAGTCTTTTTGGGAAACTCCCATGTGTAGAATACAGAGATGCTATATAATAATTGGGTTCATTTGGCATCCATGCATTAGGAAAATCTTTGCAGCCTTGCTCAGCTCACTCTGCTGTTAACAAAGAGACATGGACAAACATGTCTAAATGTGACTAAAATGCCTTGGAAATAATTTTACCCTCATCCCTTTGAAATTTATGGATGAGCTACATTAAAAATTTTATTTGCTATTCATTATAATGCTCTGCTCTTCAATTATTTACAACCTATTAAACCATTATAGATGTTGGGGTTTTTTGCAGTGCTCCTTTCCAGAATGTAAGAATAAAACTTAATAGCTAGTTAATACTGTGTGTCCTTGTGAATTTAGTTACATTACTGTATTTAATGTAGCAGTGTCTCTGTTTGTATTGAAGTATTAGCTAGACAACCACAAGAGATGCTGAATTAAAACCCTGCTGAATGGCAATGTGAAGATTTCATTAGCACTTACTTTTAAGTAATATTCAAGATATCAGAGTGCAGAAAAATCACACTATAAAATAGGATTTAACATAATGTATGGTAACAAAATCATAAATTATGTTTTAGTGATGTTGGAGAGATTCCATAAGAACTGTGAACTAAATATTGTATTGAAATCATATTGGTTTTGTCTTAATAATACTCAAACAGAATTGAAAGACCTGCCACATCTGTGTTTGTGTTTTTTTATATAGTTGCTGCTGAATGCTATGATTTCAATTGATCTGCAGCTTTGTTTTCTCTGTTCTTTGTTTATAGGAGGAGTTTGGCTACAATGCAGAGACGCAAAAACTTCTAGCTAAAAATGGAGAAACGCTTCTCGGGGCTATTAACTTTTTTATTGCCAGTGTGAATACATTGGTGAATAAAACAATTGAGGATACATTGTTGACTGTGAAACAGTACGAAAGTGCCAGGTAGCTATCCTGTGTCTAGCCTTTTTCCATATGAATTAATTCTCGGGAAGCAGACGCTGTATCAGCTTAGACCTTATATTTGAGTGACTAACCTGTCAGACAAAAACCTTATAACACAGCTCTCATCTAATGAGGGTTTTTGTTTAACTGTAGATGATTGCACAGATCTTCAAATGTTTTGTACATGTTTCCTTGTAGAGTGAATTTTACTTATTAGCTGTGGGTGTAATTATAGCTGGTTTATCCCACGTGCTAGATTAAGGGGGCTTCCTAGGTAGCGTGACAGTGGAAGATTAACACTTGTCCAGCTGCTGCATTGCAATAGGTAAAATAATCTCTTTGACTGAAAGACATTTAGTCTTGTGCCTCTGATGAACAATGCCTACAATTCACACTTTGGTTTTTATGCAGAAGTTTCAGGCTTGGTCAGAAAGGGGAAAATAAACCAGAAATTTCTCAGTGAGTGAATAATGGCTTTCTTATCCTGGAGAAGATTACTTTTAGATGTGTATATTCTAAAGCTGGGTTCCTTTTTCCTGTCAGGGACTTGTAGCTCTTTCTGATGAGTGGTTCCATTCTGACTTTCTTTTACTTACCAAAATCAAGTGCATTTCTTTTAATTTGACAAAAGATGGAGTTTATGCATATAATTTTTTGTGATACCTCGGGTCTTTTAGTTCCGAAATTGCAAACTGCTTATGTTTTGAATTTCCCCCTCTTTTTAAATTGTTCTGTTCTAATGCTTATTTTTGAACAAAATAGTAAGTTACTGTTTTGATATTTAGGTAAACTTTCAAAGGCATGAAAGGTAGAATTAATGTGTAGGTAAGGTATTGCTTTATTTTTGACATGTGTTTAAAAAAAAAAAAAAAATTGGTTCATACATCCAGGTATCCCCTGGAAAATTTACACAAAATAAATCTGCTGCAGTTGTTCTTGTCAGTCATTTTAAATATATGGTTCTTCCCTCCTGAAATACCTTCATTGCTTTCCCTTTCTGTTCACTAAAGAAATAAAATATTTTGCCATTTTAATAAGGCAAATAAATTACAAAGGTTCATCACTGACATGGCCAGTTCATAATTTTGCACTGTGAAAATAGGTTGCATTTATTTGTGCCTCTTCTTTCCTGTTCCCGGTTGCACTTTAGCATTCATCCGTTCCCCTCTTCTGTCAGCTCTCTATAAGTTTAATGGTTTCCTTTTTGGAATTAAGCCATAAATTACCTATAAATCCTCAATCATAGTGGCAATGAGAATCAGGAAGAGCCCTGTGAATATTAGTCCTTTTGCCTCTGAAAAGTTTGTATTTTTCTTTTGAGCAGAACGTCAACTGAAAATTGCGTTTTATAACCAGTTTTTCATCCTTATTTGTTTCCAGTTTAAGAAATGTCTGTAAGAAAGCATGTTTAAAAGGCCAAAAATAGTGTCATTTGTCCCATTAAAATAGGTGGATATGGTAGGTTCCATTATTTGACAACTACAGAAAATATGGAAGGAAGAGTGATGCTTTGGGCAGGGCTGCGCCATCTTTTTGCAGTCTGTTTTTCCATAGGACAGACAAGTTCTCAGAAAAGTATTTGTGGGAGAGCTATGAAACTGTCCAGTTATTGCATAGGGACTAGTCTGGAGCATGCTGAAAATGCTTAGGTCAGAGTTTGGTGTAAGTGACCTGTTCCTCAAACATCTGCTTAAAGGGGGTGTCATGCTCTTGGTGTGCCTCTTATTCTCAACACAAACTCTCCAGTGAACTGATTCAACAGCAGAAGAATGACCTGAAAAATATTTGCTAGCTTTTTCTGGGTTAGCAGGTTGAGATGTCTCAGGAGAAGCTCTGACTGAGCCTGTGGTTGAGACAGGAACAGAAAAGGGAGGGTGCTTGTTGAGGCAGTTTTATACAATGTGCATGATAAATAGGAGGAGGGAGAAAAAAAACTTGCCCATTTTTTTTGTTTGTTTTTTTGCCTTTTTTTTTTTTTTTCTCCTGTTTTTAACTTTTTTTTTTTTTTTTTGTTGGACTTGTATGTGAGGTCAGTTTTGAGGCACTGCCCTTAGATAGTTCTTTTTTCCCTTCTCCTCTTTCTTCTCAGGATTGAATATGATGCTTATCGAACAGACCTGGAAGAGCTGAATCTTGGCCCTCGTGATGCAAACACTCTGCCAAAGATTGAACAATCACAGCAACTGTTTCAAGTGCATAAAGAGAAATACGACAAAATGCGTAATGACGTATCTATCAAATTGAAATTTTTGGAAGAAAATAAGGTAAGCTACTACTTCTCATGTTATGATTAGGAGTTTTGTTCAACACGTTGCTGTTTTCTAGACATATTTTAAGTTGTTACATCTTGAAATATATATTCATTTAGAAGCAGAACTATCAAGGAAAATAAGCTGAATTTTCTGAATCCTTGCTGTATCACTGGGGGACACACTTCTAGAGCAAGTAGCTTTAGAAGTCCCTAATCAAGCTGTTCCAGCTACAAATAATAAACATTGTGGCAGTAAGTTTCTTGTTGATACAGGAGGTTTCAAGTTTGCAAAACCATATTTTTTTTCCAGATTACCATATTTAATGGTTAAATGAGTCACACAATTACTGATTTAATATTCAAAGTAATATGTACATTTGGCAACATTTTCATGGAGGTTATGTACAAAGAAAGCAACAGAACTATGAAGAGGCTTCTTCAAAATTAAGCTTTCTTTAAGAATTTGAACTCAAGAGGTACTACTTTCTATAACTAATGCCTTTATAATTCCTTAATAAAAAGCAGGACTCTTGAACTGTTGGTTTGAAGGGTGGGGTTTTTTTTCCCTGTAACCGTTTATTTCAACCCTACCATTTCATCCATAGCCTCTTAATGATGGGATTCTTACCCTTCTTATTCTACCAGGCAAAAATAAAGCTGCCATACAAAACTTTAAAACTGTCCTTTCTTTGATAAATATGTCCTTTAAAATTGTCTCAAATTAGATGTGAAAATTATGGTCTTTCAGGATCTGATTTTTTGTTCATACTCATGGTAAATGAGATGGTTATAATCATGTGTGTTGTAATCATATTCAATCCTTCAGAGGAAGAAAAAGATGATTAAAACTTACATAGGAGATAGTTGTCAGTTTTTCCAGGGTTAACATTGTCAGTGGGTTAGCATTTTCAGTATGGGTTGTTCAACGTTTTAAACATTTGAACACAGGTAACAAGAGCCTGTCAAAGAATATATGAGTGCCCCCAGATTGCAATAGCAAACCATGGTCCCTGTCTGGAAGGAGGAAAGTTTAAAGGAAAAATCATAGGGAGAAGTTAAACCAATTAAAATAGATTATTATTTTGTATTCTTAAATATATTTTCACATAGTCAGTTGCATCAGCTTCTTAGAATAAAGATGGGGCTCAGGGAAGAAACATGAACCATGAACAGATGATAAGAAAAAGGCTGAGAAAATAAGCAAACAAATATATGCGTAAAACATAGCTCCTGAGTACTGTTCCTTCAGGCATCTGCTTTAGGACTCCCTGGTCTGGAATTACATAGCCATCAAAAGTTGGCTTTATGATGGACCAGATCATCAGGTGACTAAACTGGTATTGGCCTGACTTTATTTCTGGTTCTTGCTGAAAAACTTTGAAAAAGAAAAGTATTGAAAACATTCTTATTGAAATTAATTTTCTTCAAGAAGCTGAATTCTAATCTAAATACTGATATTGATTCTTAAATTAGAAAATGCTCCTGAGAGCTGGGTTTTAAAACTATGTGAGGTTGAAAACAGGGATGCTGAAGGTGTCTTCCTACTCTCCCTGCCTTTTTTTTCTTCTTTTGGTAAGTTATTTGCTACCACTACAATGTACCTCTGTTAAAACGGTTTAATTCTTCCAGCTCATATCTGTACAGGAATTCTGATGCTTAAGTTCAAATTAGTTTAAAATAGGACTTACCCTGTTTCCTCATGGTTTCCATTATCTATATAACATACTTAACAATTTATGTTTATATGTATAGGAATGCTTCAGAGCCAAAAGCGTTTTATTTCCTTCTTGTACAAAACATATTTCCATAATTTTTTTAAATTAAATTAGATAGTTTAGGAAACACTGAACAAGTTGTCTCCCTAGTGACAGTCTTGAATTAGACCAAGCATCCTGTTAGCAGTCACAGCCTACAAATTGTTTCTGAAAGAGATTGTTTTTTCCTTCCTGCCTTTTAGATTAATGCATTAGGGAATCTCACATGCCTAAGCCTTTTTATCAGTGGTTGACATTTCTCAGTTTTGACACTAGAGGTGTAAAAATATTTACTAAAGGGTGTGTGTAATTTTGTTCCCAAATGAGCTATAGAAAGGACTTCCTTTACACTTAAATTCTGGCTTAAGTATAATTATCTGCTGAGAGCTTTTCTGAGGTAAGCTTTATCTTTTCTGTTTATTGTATAAGATGACATTTTGTCATCATGGCAATAGTTTGAAGGGAGTGAAGCAAGTAGCTTACCCTGTAGTGTAGGAGTAGCAGGTAGGATGGCTTGTGCTTGCCTTGGAGAAGAAGGGCATAAATTGATGGAGAAGCAGTGGAAAGGGAAAGTGATGTGTTGCTGTTTTCATCAGGGTCCCTGCTCTGAGGCAAGAGCAGCAGTGTATGAACCTTGCTCTGCAGTGGCCTTGGACAGAAAAGCTCAGTCTGTGGTTTTCCAGTCTTTTGTTTCCTGTGGCTGAGAGTGCTGGCACAGAAGCATTGCCTTTTACACTTCAGCTGCCTTTCTAAAAGAAAAAAAAGAAAAAAAAAAAAGTGTAAGAAGGGAGCAGGATTATCAACAATTCTGTGCTGTCTGCTCCTGGTGGTGTATTTCTGTGAAGGACTTGTTCTCAGCATAAAGTGAGCATTCAACTTTTTATAAGGGCTGTAGGTGAACAGAACTTTGTTTTCTGAGCAAATACACTCCTCCTCATCCCTTGATGAGAATCTGTTTTAAAGAGAATAGCTACTGGAGGAAAGAGAGTATTTGATATTCCAGGAGGAGCAGAAAAAGAGATGAGGAGAATCTTTGCCGAGTTCCCGTGCAACACTGGTTGGTAGGACTGAGATGGGTCCCAGTGTGGCTGTCAGATAACATTTCTTAATTAAGTGCAGAGATCAGATATAGAGCAGAATAAACCTGAAACATCCTTTTAGTTCAGGTTTTCCCTGTTCTTGCTGTTCATGGCAGCATAAATCCATTGGTTCAGTCAGGAGCAGTTCAGCTATCAGCAGTGTGTTCCTAGTAAATGAAGAACCTCTGAAGCCAGTTTAACTGGCTGGTGGGCTCCAGTTGGTCTGTGTTGCTGCAAATGTCACCTAAGAACCCGTAATGCAGATGGCCCTATCTAGGTTTTCCCTATATGGGGAAAAGGCATCACATGGTTGCAGTCTCTTTGTGCCTGTTTTCCTCAGTTCATATGCTAATATTTCAATTAAAAGCCCTCAAAGGCTCAGAGAGCTGTATTTACAGTAAAGCTGGAATTGCAAGTTTCTGTCTTTAAAACCAAGATATATAAGATTTCTGTTGATTTTGTTACAGCATTTGATCTTGAAGTTAGAACTCATTTTTCTTAATGCTGATACAAAGTTTTATTGGTGCTATCCCCAGCTGGCAGATTTCTGTAGAAGTTTGTAGTGTTTGCTAATGACTGTAATAATGGTTGCATTAAAAATCTGAATCTTACAAATAGTCATTTTTTTTAAATAAGGATGATGTCCTGTTCTTAGCTTAAATATTTTTGTCTTTTCTGAAAACAGTTTTAGAAGGTTTTGTCCTTTTGAGAAAAAAAACCCTGTTACTCTTGGATGCACTGGAGTAATGTCAAATACCATTCTGTGTAGAGAAATTGACTGCACTTTTGTGATTTGTACTTCAGGAGTTTGATTGTTAAATGCTTGCTTCTACAAATGAAAGTGGTCCATGGTCCAGTGGAGACCCAGATGATGAAAGTGTTTAGACTAAGTACCTTCAAACTAAGATAGCTAGGAGAAGGGATTGTGTTGGTTGTGAGGAGGTCCAGACTCACAGATAGGGGTATTGTCTTTTTGTTTGTTGAGATGGCTGAAACGGTCTGAATGAGGAGGGTGTAAAGAAATATGCACTTACCATTCCACAGAAAATACAGTGTTCAGAGGGAGGTGGGGAAAGACAGCAATATTTAGAAAGAGCTGAAATGCTAAGAGGCATCCATGTGAAAAATAAAATCCAATACCTGTAGTATCTTCTGTATATGACACTTAAGTCTCCTATATAGGATATGTCTACATGTAGATTTTTATGCTTATCCAAAAAGTTCAGCTTTGTTTTGAGATATGTGTGCCAATTGTATTATGAAGTGCTTACTCTGCTTATAATTAGGAACAAATAGGTATACGTAGTTAATTTAAAAGGAACAAAGATTTTAACTGTTAACTGTAAAGCATGATGTCTTTTTGACGGCTATATTAGTCATATATTGGAACCTGTATTTTGGCTGTATTTTAGCAGCATACCATTAGCATTCTTTGAGGCAAATCTTCAAACACTCCTTTCCTGGAATCAGTGCTACAGCTTGGTGATCAAGAGTTGGCCTTTATTGATGTAATCTGACAATTGTTTCAAGGCTTTGATGCAAAAAAAAAAAAAAAAAAAGTGATCCCTTCATCCCCCCCTTTTCCCCCATTGCCTTCTCTCTAGTGTTTGTGAAAGTGTTTTTGCAGCTGTGTAGAGAATCAGATTGGGGAATTGATCCAGGTTAAAGCAGATACATTATTGTCTCCTTAATTTTAATTGAGATCTTTTATCTGATCCAACTGACTGCATATCTCTATGAGTGGTTTGCCAACAGAGGGCTAAGGTGAAATACAGAGTGGAAGTTGCAGTCAGTGACTGGATATGGGATTGGGTAAGATACTTACCCATTCCCCAAGTTGGAGCGAGATTCTTTCATGGGAAAACTGGGTAAATTTGAACTTGGTTTTAAATGAATAGTTGGGCTGTAGCTGTGGTTGCAGGTGGTTTTGTTGTGGACATACAGGGTGTTTTGAGGTGTTACACCTTTTTTTCTCTTTGCTGGCTGTTGTCTTTATATAGTGTCAGACAGTTTAAGTGGTCTTTTTCTAGAAAAACTTGTATTGTAAAGTTACTTGAATGAAGCTATGGAAAAGAAGATCCCACCATCATTTTTGGGATTCACTAACAATCAGCTTCTGAAGGAGGAGAGTAGAAGTTCTAAGACTTTGAACCTCTGGAGCCAGTTTGATAACAATCATGAAATTTATACCATGATGAGGTAGCTTTAGTAGTTAAAAAAACACCTCCAAAACAAAACATATTTTTTTCAGTCCAAATTATCTGCCTCTACACTGTCAGTTCCTGCCTCTGTGTGTGTGTGTGTGTACACATCCTTGAGCCTAGGCCTGACTGAATTTTTTAAATTACCAGAAAATTTTTGGGGCAGTTCACAGAAGGTTTATGTTAAAAGCTACCCTAATAAAATACCAAATATAGTCTCAGACTGATGAACTTGGGCTGGGAGGGGAGGTTCGTTACCCCTGTTTTATTTGAGTTCCTATAAACTGTACGAGTAAAACTCTTGTAGCATTTTAGTAATATGCCATAACAGTGAGTGTACTTCTCTGTAGAATTCCTGGCTTGGATTGCATGAAGTCTTGCATGTCAGTGACGAAAGAATCTGATCAAGAAAAGCACTGTGCTTTCTAAGTTTTTAAAAGCAAGTCCTTCATGTTGTTATGACATTTTCCACTTACAAAGTGTAATATTTTGTAATTAACATTTTTATAGATGAAAAATCCCTATGTTTATATACCTGTCTGCCCACACAAACTGAAGAAGAGGTCATCTTTTATGACTCAAAAAATAGGTTGTACTCTATTTGAACAAGTGTGGTTAGCTAAATCCCGTCTCCTAGATGTTACAATGTCTGTATGTGATAAATTCTGTAAATTATTTTGTAAATTTAAAAAAAAATCATCTAAAGGTATGCTGGGCAATACCTTTCTAACCATTCACACCCCTCATGTAAATACATCTTTATTCCTTTTGGTGGGATAAAGAATCATTTTACGCTATTAATGAGACAAAAAGCCTATTCTTTGGCATGTATTTGCATAAATTAAGCTGAATTATTAGGAGAAACATAGGGAGAAGACATAGGGATTCCAGTTTTCAGATTGTCAGAGCAACTTAGATGAAAATTTGGGCCAGCAAAGAAGAGGTTATCACTTAATTTTTGAACTGAGTCTGCTATTCAGTTAAAAAAAAAGTTATATAATCAGAGTTTTTAACTTTGTGCAGAACTTTTTATATATTCCTGCAGGGATATGCACACACATGCTCAGCCCTTTATTCTCAAGGAATTTTTAAAATATATTTATTACATTTCTGAGTAAATGTTGCACTCTTCAGGTGTCATAGCGTGTCAAATATAATGGTGGGCAGTTTAATTAGAAATCTTTCATTAAATAAAGATTATAAGGTGTTTCTGTACTGAGTTGCATGCATTTCAGAGAAGCGCAGTAGCCAATAACAAATAACCTGTTAAAACAATCATGGCCCACTGGGCAGGCATAGGCCAAACCTGGCCCAAGGACAGTTTTGATTCCCAGAATGACAAAAGTAGACTGTCCCTTCTGGAGTGTGCTGAGAGATGAGACAGTGATCTAAAATCTGAGTAGAGAAAACTCAATCTGTTACCTCCCACATCTTCCCTTGGGGCTCATTCAGCCACTTTGTTCCTCTGTTCCCTTCCATGTTGGCTGCCTGCTGCTGGGCTCAGCCTTGTAGGCTGTAAACAGGTACAGGGCCACCACCATGGGGATTTGGGGTCTGACACAAGAGTAAGGTGGTGCTGGCTGAGAGTACACTCAGGAACAAAAAGGGTTTGGCTGCAGGAGAAACTGGACAGATGCCTTTCAGCATACTGCTGTCCATTCACAGTTTCAGGTTTCCTGGTGTGCTAGGATGGAAATGTTACATTTGCTTGACTTTGACTTCATCAGTGGGGCTGCAGCTTGTTATCATAGAGGAAAACAGTGGTGCCCTCCAGCTGCCCTTGTGCTCTTCTCCCCAGGTTTTGGTTGTTCCTGTGACAGGTGTATTTCATGACTAATTTTCACAAATCGTGGAGTCAAGATAATGACAAAGTGCTGTAAATAATCCTGTGTTACAGCAGATGGGCAAGAAATATTGCTGGGAGAAGGACATCACTTTAATTTGATTTAGGTGTCCATGAGCTGGAAAGCAGCAACTCTCTGCAAGAGGGGCAATGCACGAACTGTATACTCAGATAATGCCCTTGCCATGTACTGTTTCAGGGAGGTAGGTCCATTTGGCCTGCAGGCACGTATCTTAGAGGTTTGGCATCTCATTTGAAGGCATCAGGTACTTGTAATCAAGTGTTTGATATTTGATAACATTATGCTGTTTAGTGAATTGTGTTTGCTCTGTGCATGCTGAGTTGGTACTGGCTGTTAAACACACTTTATGAAAACTCTGAATCACTTTAATGTTAAATAAATTCATATTTGCATTTCATATCTATATTTTTAAGCTTTTGTTAAATAAATCTATAGGAAATCTGAGCATTTCAAATACACTTATTTCTTTATAACTGTGATGATGTTAACATCAGCCTCCTCTTAATATCTCTCTCCTTGCCTGCAGGTGAAGGTATTGCACAATCAGCTTGTTCTGTTCCACAATGCCATTGCGGCGTACTTTGCTGGCAATCAAAAGCAGCTTGAACAGACACTTAAACAGTTCCACATCAAATTGAAAACTCCTGGAGCAGATGCCCCATCCTGGCTTGAAGAACAGTAACCAGATCATAGAAGAGGACCCAATGTTAACCTAAAATTCTTTAAATCTGAGAATAATTAAGGGTTGGGGTTGAAGGACTGTTGTAGTCATTCTTGAACGGACAGCTTTAAATTTTTTCCCCTTTTATAATACTGTAAAACTGAATTTGATAGGAAAGTGGGCAACTTTAAAGTAACCAAACATAATTTCTGTAATTTCAAATATAGAGCACTCCTTTTGTATATAAAGGTTGGTGGTTATTTCTGTAATTGGGATGGGGGGGAAGAGGGAGGGGAAAGAAAACTATTATAGATTTGCACTGACAAATGATGCTTGTGATTTCTTGTATTTTGGTGGCTAGTCAAAATATTTGCAAATGGAGGTTTACATGATTTGTACCAACATCTGGTGTTTTATAGGTGAATATAGAAAACATCTTTAGTAATTTTCATATGACTTTTAAAAAAAAGGAAAAAGTTAAAAGACTATTTTGCAGTTGAATACTGTAAGGCCTATATGTGATATCTGCATGTAAGGCAACAGTAGCAGATGGCTCATTGACAAGCGGAATTAAAGCAAATGCATTTTTTAAAAATATACCTTTCCATCAAAGGGTTAAAAAACCAGAAAAACACTAAAGTAAGAATCACTGTCAGTCTGAGGCTTCTGAGCACACGTTTTTGCTTTGCACCAAGTGGTTTGCTGAGTGAGGCCAACCATTAAATGTACTAATTTCATTTAAAATGTTTCTTTCTCTATGAAACAAATACCGTACTAGCCTTAAATCACAGGTATGTGCCTTTTTTTAAGATAATATTTTCCACCACTGTACATAATCTAAGAACCCTTTCATGTAATAGTTTGTCAGTTCCCAACAAGGGGAAGATGCCTGTGTAAATGCTGTGTCATTGTACACTTAGAGCAGGTTAAAGCTTTAGTTAAACTTTATGGGCAGGTATGATTTTGTGAGGCAATTGGGCCAGTATGTTTTTTCTGTTTAATTGAAAAGCATACTTTGGTAATGGGAGTAAAATGGAGGACACATTTTTAATTTCTTCATCATTTCTGTAGTCCTTAAATGTAAAATTATATGTCAGTTTTATCATAGATATTTTAAATTCAATATATTGGAGTCCTCATTTGCACATGTTATGTTGCTTTATATGTTATGTTAAGTAAAATTAAATACTTCAAATATGTTATTTACAATTGTGTGGATTGTATGATTTATGTACTGTACGTTCAAACATCTTTCAGCTGACATTCTTAAAGTTTTCAGTGTTTAACACAACTGTAATGTAACTGTAAATCAAACTTTTTAATCATTCCTCATTAAATTCTTAGCCTGACAGAGCCTTCTTTGTTTTTGTTCTGTCAGAATCTCTTGTAATTGCTCAATTACGTTCCCTAGAATGTATATCCTATGTGAATTTTGTATTCATATTAAACAAGTTTGCAGTCAAACTTTCTTGGCTTGTGATGGTTAAAAGTAGAAGGGAGCTTCTGCAGTGGAAGCTTAGTCCTGTTTTTGTGAGTTGTCACCTCTGCCCAAGAATATCTCATAAAGCAGTGCTAGGTAGTGATGCTGTCTTAACAGTGGGCAAGTTCAACTGGAAAGCAAATCCATAGTGAAGCAAATCTTTTAATATATGTGGGATTTGACTTGAACTTCTAAAGGAAATTAAATTTTATTTACAATTCTTTCAAAGCCATTGACTTCCACTGAATCCTGGCACACATGTGATATGACGGTGCAAGGAAAGTGAACTGAGTGAGTATAGGGTTGAACTAGGAAATGCATTATTGCAGGGGTGAAGAATGCAAACCCACTGACCACAACTGAAGTATTGGTCTTTCAGAACAGTGTAGAAAAAGGGCACATAAGGAACATATACTCTTGGTTTCTCCCTCAGATTCATGTGTCTCCTGCCTAGGATTGCTGCTGCTCAGAAGGAACTCTCTCAGAAATGGTAAGAGTGAACTTGAATTTGCAGTTGCCTTAAGAAAAGACTGACCAATGAGTCATTGTGTAATCCTCAAACTTTTGCAATGGTTTAAAACTGCTGGAGTCTCTTCACCTGGAAGAAGAGGTGGAACCAAAAAGATTACTTGCTAAAACCTGTCTGTGTATCATTTAATACTGGTGCAAGGAAGAATTACTTCCATTTTGCTCAGCAAAGCACTTATTGTTATGGGTAACCTCAGTGAGCACGGTTCTCTGTTCAACTGATCAATAGGTTTTTAAACTGATAGTAGCCTGCTGTAGTACTGTAACTTTCTTTGTCACTGCTCAAATACATGTGTTTATGAAATAATTCAAGCTCATATCTTATATTTAAAATTATATTTTTAGATCTAACCAAATGCAGAAATTTGCATCAAGAGATTGTAAGAGGAAAGACGTATGAGCGTTTCCAATGGGAAGTAATTATGGTTGTCAGGCTTTCTGATTCTTGCAAAAAAGAAATATCCTGAAATAAATACTCTGAGGTTGTAAGCTAGGTTTATCTAGGTGAACAATTGTCAGGATGGGGTGTTTTTGTTGTTTGTAAAGGAGGCCATACCCACCTTGTAGAGACTTGTCTGTGACAGATTTCATCTCTGTTAACAAATTGTTACATTAGTGCTTACAGGGTTGTGTGAGATTTCTTAGGATGAAGAACTCAAAGCAATTAGTAACATTTTCAGATATGCTGTTGTAGCTGCTGTACCAGAGACTTGGGGAGCTGTTTTGATTCTCAGTGACCATACTATAAGTTATCTGTACTCCTGGCTTGCTTGAAATTTGTTGCTCCTGTTATTTTGTTCACCTGAATTCTACAAACAGCTTTTTTGCTCTAAAAATGCTCTTTTACCTACTTCATGCTTTGACAAGCCCCTTACAAAGAATATTTCTGGTTACTAAATGTATCTGTATTTTTATTTGGAAAGAGATCTACACAGGCAGAGTATAGTAATACACCGACATCATTAAAGCAACAGCTTTTTCAATCTTCAAGCAACTGGTTTTCCCAGAAACCTTATCTCTAGTCTGTCTGTCCTTTCAAAAATGATCAAAGTAATGTAAAAGCAAAGGTAAATGTTTGTCTCAACTGTGTTTTGAACTGAATGGGGGGCATATTCACTTTTTATGTTTTGCTTATCTGCTCTTGTTCCTTGTTGTGGTGTTACAAGAAGTGAAAGGTATTGTAATTATTTAGCATTCCTCATCTGCAATTATCTTTAGGTTTGGGAGGTTTTTTTAGTCTGGTTATCTTTTCCATGTTGGATGCTTGGTGTAAGGATTGTACTAGTCACAAAAATTTTTATATTAGTCATGAATCTTATCATGGTTAGCAACCACCCTAAAATTAACCAAACTACTCATTGCTAAGTTGTGTCAAATTGAAAGGCTTTCCTATATTAGACAGAGAATTTGACTGCTACTTGGTTTATATTTCTCTCATTTCTTAGTGTTTGTTGCTCTTTGACATCTTTATGTTCTACCCAGTTACTCTGATATTAAAGGTAGGGATACACAGAAAACATAGTTCTGTCTCTGTGACAGTGCTCGTTTACCTCTCTACACCTTCTTTCACCAATGTCCTTTTAATTTCCACGAGTCTTGTGTGGAAACCAAATGGCCAGGGAGATGGGGGGTGTTCACATGTTTGTCATCATGGGAATAGTTTGAAGGGAGTGAAGCAAGTAGCTTACCCTGTAGTGTAGGAGTAGCAGGAAGGATTGCTTGTGCCTGCCTTGGAGAAGAAGGGCATAAATTGATGGAAAAGCAATGGAAAGGGAAAGTGATGTGTTGCTGTTTTCATCAGGGTCCCTGCTCTGAGGCAAGAGCAGCAGTGTATGAACCTTGCTCTGCAGTGGCCTTGGACAGAAAAGCTCAGTCTGTGGTTTTCCAGTCTTTTGTTTCCTGTGGCTGAGAGTGCTGGCACAGAAGCATTGCCTTTTACACTTCAGCTGCCTTTCTAAAAGGAAAAAAAAAAGAAAAAAAAAAGTGTAAGAAGGGAGCAGGATTATCAACAATTCTGTGCTGTCTGCTCCTGGTGGTGTATTTCTGTGAAGGACTTGTTCTCAGCATAAAGTGAGCATTCAACTTTTTATAAGGGCTGTAGGTGAACAGAACTTTGTTTTCTGAGCAAATACACTCCTCTTCATCCCTTGATGAGAATCTGTTTTAAAGAGAATAGCTACTGGAGGAAAGAGAGTATTTGATATTCCAGGAGGAGCAGAAAAAGAGATGAGGAGAATCTTTGCCGAGTTCCCGTGCAACACTGGTTGGTAGGACTGAGATGGGTCCCAGTGTGGCTGTCAGATAACATTTCTTAATTAAGTGCAGAGATCAGATATAGAGCAGAATAAACCTGAAACAACTTTTTAGTTCAGGTTTTCCCTGTTCTTGCTGTTCATGGCAGCATAAATCCATTGGTTCAGTCAGGAGCAGTTCAGCTATCAGCAGTGTGTTCCTATTACTTAATGAATAGTGTGTCTTACTGTGCTAATTAAATAATTATACATTCTCTGCCTTAAAAAATACTAAGGACTGTAAATTCAAGCACTTAAGAGATAAATAATGCTAAAAACTTGTGTTGCCTGTTCAGTTTTGATTTGCCTGTCTTACATATGCACATGCATCATGCTAGTTTTAGGTGATGGTGGTAATTAATTGCAGGGTTTTGTTTTGAGACCTTAACTAACAGAGTGCTTAATTTTGAGCCCAAATATAACTTCTTTTAATGTGATAGGAGTGTCACTATTAACTTTCTCTCCTCCTTTTTTCCAAACTCTGTAGAAATGAGGGATTGTAATGAAGATGACACCTTTTTTCAGGTGGTGTAAATTATTTTATTTCCATTAGCTCTGTTCCATCATTAGATTTGTGTTCAGCCTAAAGAATGAGAAGCTCGATGCTCTGAAGAAAAGCAGAGTTTACAAAAGACAAGGTGTTTTTTTAAACATAAGAAAAAAATGCCTTTAAAACAGTAGTCCTCCTGAAAACTCTCTTGAGCATTTCATTAATTAGAAATCTTAAAAAATTAACAGTATGATTTGGTTTTGTAGTATACCAACTCATCTAAATGCTATCTGTTCTAGGGAGGTGCATTTGTTGTTTATTATAGGTGGGGCTGCTTGATCTACCTATTATTAAAGTTGCCTAATACTTCCTACTGTAAAGACCAGTTTTCAGTTGTTTATAACTCATATCAATTTTAGCCACATGGGCAAAATATTTGCCTGTTGAGTGTTACATGTTTAGGTGAAAAAATCAGCTAAAATTTTAAAATTAATTTGCTAACATGTTTTGGGAAAGTTCAGGGAGAACAAACCCACAGGGTGAGGAAAAGTGAAGAGTTTAACTTGACATCCGGACTGGCTCCCAGGTCCTCTGCTCTCCTGTTTGGGTTCTGACTTTTTAAATACAATGCTATTATGCAAGTCTCTTGTTTGGTTTGCTCTTTCCGTCTTTTCGAGAGAACATTTGTGTTCATGACTGGCAGCAATGAAAACAAGTCCCTTTGGCTCCAGCACAAGCAGTTACAGTCCAAGCAGCAAAGCGCTTCCTCGCTGATGACCTCAGGGCTGACCTGACACTCTCGAGGAATGTCCACGCTGGCTCAAAGCTGAGCGTGTCCTCTCCAGCTGCTACTCACCCTGCCAAGCAGACATGTGTGTTGTGATGGAAATTGCCTTTTACTACAGTTGAACTCTTCATTCAGTGAATTTTCAGCTTAAATGACTGGGTTCTGGCATTGCATTCCTTAAATTTTCCTTTTGTTCTAATACTACTTTTTTAAATTGAGGTGACTAAAGCAGGCTGTCTTGCCAGACCAGTAGGTCACATCTCTGGCTGCAGAACTGTGAGCAGGAATGGTGTAACCTCCACAACCATTGGCCTGGGCTCCAGGCCTGGGCCAGAGGAGGCCACCTGGTCTCCCACTCTTCCTCTGGTTCCTGCCTTCCAACACCTGAGCAGAGAAAATAGCACAGGTGAGGCGCTACACACTCAGGTAAGACATGGTTTTGTCCTGCTGCTCTTTACCTTCCCACCCCTGCTTGTATCAAGGTGATGTCTTCTCTCTCCTGTGCTCAGCTCAGAAGCTCTGGTGGCTTATTAAGTGGGACTGGAAGAAGTTTCTTCTTTCTCCCTCCCTCCTCTCTCAGGAAAGGAAGAGTTTCTGTTTCCACCTTTGGAATTTGCCTTCTGTAAAAAGTAGTGTTCAGATGTCTGGGCTGACTATTGATTGACTTTGAGTGCAGTTCTTCACCTTTACTCTTCCTGTGAAAATGTTATTATTTTAGACATAGGATTCAATCTCTTGATAAAATATTTTAGAACCATTTGTGCTTGTTTGCTGCCTTATCAGTGAATGGGACTTTGGCTTTCAGGCATCCACAACTCAAATGCGCTGCTGCCTGGAGCGCTGTAACCCAGGGCTGTGACCACATCTTAAATTCGTCTGCCCTTCTCT